ATATATAATTTTATTAAATATTCTTGTGACAGTTGCATCTGCAGAAAAAAGCTTTTTCAAATTGAAACAGTTTGAAGACTTATATGCATTCTACTATGTCACAATAAAAAGCTTAATGGGTTAGCATTGATAGCAACTGAGAATGATATTTTGGAGAAAATTGACTATGAAGATTTGGTTGACGGTTTTGCTTCTAAAAGCGTTCAGAGGATGACACTTTTAAATAAAATATCACGATTATAGAGTTGCTTTGTGATATTATCTAAGTTATAATGTTTGAATTTTTTTATTTTACAAGAAACAATCTTAATATGATAAATTTTGATATTTTATAATTTTACATTATTGTAAAATATTTTAGGGACCTTATTTTAAAAAGTAGCACATGGACTATATATCTTTCGAGACATGCTTGCCTTTTTGAATAAGGAAACAACTAAGGTTGCACGAGCTTGCTAGTAGCAGGCTAGTCCAGTGACAAGTGATATTAGAGTGAGTTTTGTTTGTTTAAGATAGCACTGCAACAAGATGAACAACAAGTTTTGAGGGGAATAAGCCCCATAACATTGGAAATAAGAGATCACCATCAAAGAATGTCATCACATCCATCTAAGGGAAGGTCTCCAAGTTAGATGACTCCAATAAGTGTAACACCCTAAACCAGAACGACATAGAGTCGGCCGTTTAGAATGCTACATGGAACCACCAGAGTGGCTAACCAAATTTTTCTCTCATTTCTCTTTATTTAAAACGAACATTTTCATAAGAAAAATAACCATATAAATATAATTGAAACTTTACATTGTTGAGCTCCCAAAATAAATATTTACAATCAAAACATGTACATACCAACTTTTAATTGAATTTACGACTCAACTTTACAACATGGTTTATAAGTATACTTGCCCTTCAAAAACTTGAGACGTACTCTGATATACACTTGGTTCTGGACCTTGGTCGCTAAGAAGGCTCCTCTTAACCTAATATGTGTAAGGAAACAAATTCCAAACGCTGAGCTAACTAGCTCAGTGCCACCTTAACAACTAGATCATACAAAAATTGTATTAGTAAAAATGCTCAAGCTATCAAGCATACTCACTCTCTACTCTATGGTAGACATCATGGTGCGACTGAGGGTTCTGCATCTCAGAACTCACACACCTCTCTAGTCTACCGAGGATGGTTCCCAGAACTCTGCATCAGTCAACACCCTTGACTAACCCAGCCCTTGCGAGTGTCAGGCAGTGGCTCTAGTTAGTCAGCTTAAAATGTCTCACACACTACCTAAGGATATCTGGATTGATTTTATACTTTTGACACCTTTAACTTTACTAAAGGAACTCGAGTGTCCTGATCGTTTCCCAAGCGTTAAGCAAGGCTAGTTTTATGTCACCCTAACTTATCTTGTTTCTACGTGAAATTAAGCATTATTATTGTTCTCATTTGTAGTCTTATTTGAGAGTAATTATAAAGTGTTTGGAAAACCTCATCTCTTCTTAAAGTCCCTTGAATTTCATGTCCGATCCTTCCCCCCACATATAATCGCGACAATCATTTCGACCATAGTCAATATTTGGTTTTGAAAATTTATTTTGATTTTGAAAATAAGCGCAAAAGAAATTGAGATAAATTTTTGAAGTTACTTGAGTGCTTTTCAATTCTCACATTAGAATTGAGTCACCACTTTTGCCCTTGGCATAGAAGAAAACTAGCTAAGCATGAAAAAAGTCATACTCAACATTTTTGAAAATGAAACTTAAAAGAATTAAGCAAAGTAAAACTAAAGAAATTTTATAAAAAAGAAAGAATAAAAACAAAGAACAAGAGATGAAATGTTTTCGATAATTCTGAATGATCAAATAGGCTTACCCAATGAGGGTATTTATAGTATTCTAAAACCCTAAAAATGCTGAAAATTACAAAAGATAATTGTTTAAATTTAAATCCTAAAAGTAAAAAGATAAATCCTAAAAACTTGAATTTTAAATTGTTTGAAATGCTTCAACAGTTCGTCTATCTTATGGAAGCTGCTGACTGGACCTGTTAGAAGCTGTTGACTCACTGTCACGTCAGCATGTTATGCCCACTATCCCAGCCTTGATTCCAGAGCAAAAAGTGCAATTTTCAGGAATTTTAAGCATATTTTCCCGAAGTCATTGCCCTGCATAGAAATCATGTAAAAACGCCCAAACCAGCAATAAAGATGAATAAACAAGGAGCATTTAATCATGAAATATAGCACAAAATAAACCTCAATCATTGATTTTACCAGCCATTGAGATCAAACTCAAACTCGTTTGAGAATGACGATTAATACCATATGGATAAGAGAATTATAGTAAGCTATACGAGATTTTTGTTTTCACCTTCCATCTCAACCATGAGCAAGTATATTTATATACATCAATGTTTATAACTAATAATGATGTATTCAAATACAATGTATAAGATAAAAAAAAGGTTGTTGCTAAGATTTAGGATAATCACAATAGCAACATTTGAAATTAAGGAGGTTGTGACATTATGCTATCACACAACAATACATATATAAGTAGTCACACACTCAAGGAGATCCGATAATAAGTAAATCATACTTAATTTATTGTAAAAATCATAAAGTGTAGCACTAGTCAAGGAATGAACCTCTATGAGCTAAGAATACTAGCTAAGCCTTATGCTCTCTACGACTGACAGCATTAAATACTACAGAGTAGGAATCTACAATAACATAACACTACATGAGTACTAGAACATTATACTTAAGTAAAAAGCTCTAAATCAATTATCAATACTCACGTGTAACTCGAGTGTAATAAGCATAATCGAGTTGGGTTGAATAAGAGTAGTCTTGATTTACTGGGGTGCGGGACGGAAACACGTGATCACCTTTAGAACATAAAATCAGAGTGCAAGGCCTTTAATTCCATAATGTACTTGACATAAATGCAATTTAAAGCAATGTAATTTGCAAAAAAAGGAGTTTCAGATCAGAATTTGACAAAAAATAGACTATAAAAACAAACTTAACACGTCGAAAATATAAAGTTAAACGTCAAAGGCAAAAGTCAATGGGCAACTATTGATACTTAACAGATCGGGTCAATGGATCAGGTTAATGATTCAGGTTCAATTAAGGTTAAACGGGTTTAACTATTGAATCAATTTGATCGGTTCGATGAAACTTCCTCACTCATAGCGCGTGGGATGTTCTCCAGTGCCAAAAATTTACAAAATTCTCTAGATTTTCAGTTTAAGAAACAAAGAGTCCCTTACCATAGAATGACAAAGATGTAGATTTTACAAAATTCGAAGCAATTCCTCGTATCAACTCAGTGATGACGACGACTCTGGAGAAATCAAAGGCGCCAAATAAAAGGACACGACGGAAGTAGGGTAAAAATTAAATTACATATTTTCAACCAATAATAAATTTATATAGTATTATAAAAAATAGAAAAATTGAACTATACCGAGCTAAAAATAAAGATTCATTAAATTAATTGTATCATATGTAAAATGATAAAATAATTTATTATCAAATCTTTAATTAATCATTTTTGGGATGGCGCACGTTAAGTTCTTCTATCTCGGTGCATATTAGCTAGGCTAATAGCATCTGAAGACGGGCCATCTCTCCTTCGATTCTTGTATCTTCTATGCAATTTCCGAGTTCTTTTTTGGGGATTATGCTGGTACATGGCTGGTGAAGGTGTCTCGGACTGGAGGAAGTTATTCACGGTGGGGAATACGCAGGAATTGGACTTCTCCCCTTCTGCGATGGTTGAGGGTCCTTGCGTTGTGAAACCACCTCGTTATGTGTTTGAGGAGGGTATCCTAGAGTGGAGGTACGCTTTAGTTGGACAGTTCATTGACTCAGCGTCGAATTTTGCTACTCTGCAGAAACTTATTGGTCAGCTGTGGGGGAAGAGCTCTCCGGTGAAGGTAAGCTTGGCTGGGTCAAATCTCTTTGTTTTTTCATTCGTTAATTCTTCGGCAAGGGACTAGGTTTTAGAGAACGGTCAGTGGCATTTTCAGTATAAATCGATTTGTCTTAGGAAATGGGAACCTAATTTGAGGGAATTGAATTTTGATTTGCATTGCATACCTGTTTGGATCCAATTGTATAATGTCCCATTAGAGCTATTCTCGAAGAGGGGTCTTAGTTACATAGCAAGCGCAGTTGGTAAACTCCTTCACATGGATTCTATTACTACTAATAGAGAAAGATTAGAATATGCTAGGGTTTGTGTAGAGGTTCCAACTGGGTTTCAGTTTCCGAGTTACATTGATGTATTGTTGTGCAATGAGTCAATGGCCAGGATTAGAGTCTCGGTGCCTTGGATGCATAACTCTTGTGTTGACTGTGGTCGTTTTGGTCACTCAGCTAAGTATTGTCCTTTGGGGAAGAAAAATAAGCAAGTTTGGAGGGTTAAAGAATCTTCTCTGGGAACTAAGCTGGATGTTCCTATTTCCAAAATTGATGTGGAAAAGTCTTCAGTGGGCCCGTATATTCTGACTTGCTTGAATGGTGATTCAACCTCCTTGGAATCCAACCTTGCTAAGGGGTTGTCTGATCCTTATATGTTGAAATCTCATGTTGATGTTACTGTTGATGAGGCTAGTGCTAGAAGCTCGGTTGCCATCGCAGTCACTGATGAAACTGGTTCTGGGGATCTAATTACTTCTGCAGTGCTAGCTGAGGCCTTTCCTGATATGGTTACTAATACTACTTTGAATGGGATTTGTTCTACGAGTGATATGATGGTTGATCAAGGACCTAAGCAACCTGATCTGCCTGTTTAGGCTATTGATCCACTGTTAAAGAGAGGTAGAGGTAGACCAGCCAAAATTGGCAAAGCTATGGGGGATGGTCAAAGAACAAATTTGACATCCTAAGCTCAATTGATCCTGATAGCTTGGTTGGTATTTCCCTTGAAGACTCTGGTAGAAAATAGAGGGGTACTTCTGTGGGTGTTGTAAAGATTGTACAAGAGTTGAAAATGAAAAAGAAAGAGCATGCTGACAAGGTTAAGAAGGCTGAGGAAAGGGGTGCCTCTTCCTCCTCAAACTTATTATGTTAGTGTGCTTCTGGAATATTAGGGGATTTAACAGTCCGCTTAAACAAAGCAAAGTGATGAAATGTATTGCTAGACTACATATCAATGTTATATGACTTCTGGAAACCAGAGTTAAGGAAAATAATTCGAGAGAAATTCTGTTTAAAAAGTTTGAGGGCTGGAACTTCTGCTGTAATTACATCTATGCTGAGAATGATCGGATTTGGGTCTTATGGCAAAATAATTTGGACTGCTCCATTAGTTTAACTTGTGATTAAAGTATTACTATTAAGGGTATCTTTGGTAATAAGACGTTTTACATTAATGCGGTGTATGGCTCTAATGTTGGTATTTGTCGTAGACTTCTTTGGGATCAGCTTAAAAATGTTGAAAGTATGGTAGGGAATGATCCCTAGTTGATAGGGGGTGATTTCAACATTATTTTGAAGCTGGAAGAGAGCTCTAATCCAGTTAACTCTAGTATCATTAGTGACATCTCTGATTTCCAGAAATATGTTGAGGATCTGTGTGTTTTTGATCACCAATTCATTGGTCCATTGTTCACATAGTCCAATAAGCAACAGGACGCCTACCTGGCTCGCAAACTGGATCGAGTCCTTATTAATCATTGTTGGATTGAGGCTTTTCCTTCTTCTGAGGTTGAGTTCCAAGCGCCAGGGGACTCTGATCATAGCCCAGCCCTAGTTTAGATGCACAGAGAAGCGCCTATTGCCATGCCAAAGCCCTTTAAGTTCTTCAACTTCTGGGTGTTGCACCCAGATTTTTTGACCATTGTTAATGATTCATGGAACCCTGCACAAGTCATTTTCCTTAAACTGAAAAGATTGAAGTGATGCCTCAAGGAATTGAATAAAATCATTTTTCTGATATTACAGGGCAAGTTCAAAAGAAAAGAGATGAATTGAGGGCTTTTCAGCTTGCTAACCTCGATGCTACTACTTCTGACAACCTCATTTTTAATGAGCTAAGGACAGAGGATGAATTAAGGGCCCTTGAGCAAATGGAGCTCATTTTCTATAAACAAAAAGCGAAGGCTGATTGGATCAAAGAGGGGGATCAGAGTACTCGCTTCTTTCATGCCATGGTGGCTAGCAAAAGGTTGAGCAGCACCATTCGAGTCCTTTATGATCATGAATGAACTAAGCTTACCACATTTGATACAATGTCAAGTGAGGCTATAAATTTCTTCTACAAGCAGTTGGGGGTGGCTGATCTGGATATTAACTGTTGCAATGTTAACATTGTCAAAGAACTTCTTGGCTACTCTTTGCCAGAGGGTGTAGCTGAGTCTTTAACAAGAGATTTCTCTGATGCAGAGATCAATGCAGAGATCAAGGAAGCTATTTGGGGGCAAGAGAACAATAAATCCCCTGGCCCAGACGAGTTTAATTCTTTATTCTTCAAAAAAAACTTGGCATATTGTGGGGAATGATTTTCTAGCAACTATCAGGTACTTCTTTGCTACCTCATTCATGCTCCCTTCTTTCAATGCTACTTTTGTTTTGTTGTTCCCAAAGTCTTTAACCCGAGTATGGTCAAGGACTTTCGGCCTATTTCTTGTTGCTCGGTCATTTACAAGACTGCCACTAGAATATTAGTGAATCGTTTGTCTACTATATTTCCTAATATAATTTCGATGAATCAATCTTCTTTTGTGAAAGGGAGAAGCATTATTGATAATACCTTACTAGCCCAGGAACTTGTTAGAGGCTACGCTAAGGAAGAAAATTTCCCCTAGATGTGCTCTCAAAATTGACTTGCAAAAAGCTTTCGACCCCTTAAATTGGGATTTTGTGGGAATTGTTTTGCATGCATTAGGACTTCCTGAGAAGTTTATTGGTTGGGTCTTGGCTTGTATTACTAAACCTAGCTACTCTATAGTGTTCAATGGGAGTCTCGTTGGCTATTTCAAGGGTTCTCGTGGTGTTAGGCAGGGTGACCCCCTCTCACCATATATTTTTGTTATGGCCATGAACGTTCTATCTAGCCTTTTGAATATGGATGCTATGAAAGAAGTTTTTAGCTTTCATCCCAAGTGTAGAAAGGTTGGACTCACCCACCTTTGCTTCGCGGATGATCTTCTCGTTTTCTGCAAAGGTTCCTTGGACTCTGTAATCGGTGTGCAGGTAGTTTTAGACATGTTCTACTCTATGTCTGGTTTAAAATTAAATGCCAACAAATATGAAATGTTATGTGCTGGGATCTCTGATGAGCTTTGTACTGCTATTAAAGAGGCCATTGGCTTTAAGTTGGGTATCTTCTCTGTTCGTTACTCAGGTGTCCCACTTGTAACCAGGAAGCTCACAGTTAAGGATTGCCACAGTCTTATTGACAAGATCAGGGCCAAGTTGAACTTGTGGGTCAACAATCACCTTAGTTTTGCTGGGAGGCTTCAACTGATTCAAGCTGTCCTTTTCAATATGGCTAGTTTCTGGTGCAAGCAACTTATTTTGCCGAAAGAAAATATTCATTCTATTGAACAGATTTGCACCATGTTTTTCTAGAAGGGATCTGATTTACCTGCTAAAGGTGCTCGTGTTAGCTGGAAAAAAAATCTGTTTATTGAAGTCTGAGGGTGGGTTAGGTGTTCAAGCTGTCGGTGATTGGAATAAAGTTTGTGTTGTACACCTAATCAAGAAATTACTAGCAAATGAGGGCTCTCTTTGGGTTGCTTGGATGCAAGCCTATGTGATCGGGAATAATGACTTCTGGCAGATGAATATTCCCATGAATGTGAGATGGGGCTTCAAATACATTCTGAAAATCAGACCTAGTGTCTCCCATATGTTTCCTGGCCTAGACCGTAGCTTGAGCACTAGAAGCATATGGGAAGCTCTGCTAAGGTTCCTTGGCAGCATATTGTTTGGTTCCTTGGGCGTATCCCTAAACATAGTGTCATCGCGTGGATGGCCATTCTTGACAGGATCCCTACTCAGGTTAGACTTCAAAGAATGGGTTTAAAAATTGAGAATGTTGATTGCTTACTGTGTGGTATGGAGGCTGAGTGTAGAGAACATCTGTTCTTTGGTTGCATCTTTGCTAAAGACTTATGGGGAGCTATTCTTGCTCTTTGTGATGTTTATCGGGGGGTTAGTTGTTGGGATGGTGAGTTAGCTTGGGCAATTCGATGCCTCAAGGGAAAATCATTCATTGTGGGAGTGCTTCGACTTGCTTGGACAAGCCACATCTATAGTATTTGGAAGGAGATAAACAGCAGACTCTATGGAGGAAGAGTGCAGTCAGTGGATGAAGTTCTTCAGGACATCAAAGAAGCTTTGCGTGTCCGTATGGAGGGTAAGGCTATCAATAGAAACGATCCCAAAAATACAATCCTCTGCGCTAACTAGGGCATTTCCTAAGCTGTTTTTTTTTGTTTTGTTCCTCCACTGTGTTTGTTGTTTTGCTGTTGATGTCTACTGATTTATCTCTGCTGTTTATTGTACGATGTTAATTGTAGCAGGTTTTCTGCTTTCTTGGGTAATGAAACGAAATTATCCAAAAAAATAAAAATATTTAATTACAATTAATCCCTAGTTCAATTCTTGGATAACTTTTATCCTTCCGCTATAAAAAAATAAATATTAAATTTCAGTATTGTAAACGATTAAAATCACAATTAGAGCTTCATTTTAAAAAAATAAATAAGTAGGAAGGTTTGTTTGAGAATTTATGCAATGGTTTTAAAAGGATAAGCACGAGGATCATGAAACTGTGGAAAATATTAAGGTCTGGATGACTTAGTGGGTAATTTCCCCTCTGGTTTGAAATTACTCATAAGATAAACAAACGTATTTATAATGTTGAGGTTGTTGACCAGCAATGATAGACCTGGTCAAACGTGAAACCTTCATTATTGTGGTCAATTTGTTTCATTAATGATCTTATCCCGAATACAATTGTCCAGGAATTTTATTGGCCCGTAAAATTATATACGATAAAGGATTTCCGTACGCAATAGATAAATTTTTTTAATAATATTTATGATTTGAATTTTAAAGATATAATTTAAGTAAATTAAATTAAATACAGTATTCTTATAATAAATCTTTATAAGACTCTGATTTTTTTAATAATATTTATGTTTTACCAGCTGTATTTTAAAATTCGTAAGTCTCTTTTAAAAGTATTATTTCCAATGCTCAAATTAGGATTCTTTAGTTAGGAGTGAAGTGTATGTTATCCAACAAAATTAATTTGTACTGATGGGCATACTATGGCTCAAAGTGAAATTAAGTACTCAAACTATGCATTTTTTTGTATTAAGTACCTAAATTATTTTTTGGTTAAACTAAGCTCTTAAACTATTATATTTAATCATTTTAAGCCCTACCATTCTTTTTGAAAGAAAATTATTTTTTGCCAAATAAAACGTTGACATATCATACAAAATATGTACTTGTTTTGATTAAAAAATGTTTAGAGGCTTAAAGCAAAAGAGTAATAGTTTAGAGACTTATTTTTACCAAAAAATTGTTTAGGTACTATAATAGTTTAAGGATTTAGTTTGACAAAAAAATAGTTTAGGTAATTAAAGCAAAAAAAAATGGCATAGTTTAAGTACCTTTTCTTCATTTAAGCCTTTTTCATTGATATTGGTACATACTAGTATTGATGTGTTTTGATGTAATATTTATAGTTTATTATTATTTTTATACCATTTATAATATAAATATATTTATAAAAAAATACACATTTTAAATTTATTAATTAATTAATTAATTAAATAATTATATGTTGTTTACAAAATAAAATCATGAAAAAATAAAAATAATTAAAAATGAATCGATTAAAACACGTCAAAATTCTAACCACGATAATCAATTTTTTATTTAATCAACAGTATCTGATCAACTCCAAACATTACTTAAGAATTAGGACAACGATGTAGTTCAACTGAGGTCATGTTGTTTTGCACATGCTGGAGTGTTTTCTGGAATATTAGTACACACATATTCTTCTCTTTTTCTCAATACAAAGATTCCATTCCCATTCTTTTCTAGGAGTTCAGCAGTAATACAACTACCACGGGTGTGGTATACAAGTAGGCCTCTCATTATGTATTTCACTATATTGCACATTTGCACCAACACTTATGACGTTATTGCTGATTTTATTTTAAAAAATTAATTTCTTATTTCAATGAATCAACATATAATTGATCTTAATTATTATAGTTTGAATGACATTCAATTCTTAAGACCAATATTAATAAGTAACTCATTTGCAGATCTATCTAAAGATGTTGATATCCCAAACTTTCCATGTAAGTTTTATTCTTACATAACCAACTCTATTTTTTTATGATTACTAAAAATTTAACTTGTTACTACTATTTTTAAAATGTAGATACACCTTATTAAACATATAATCTCATAGAGGTCATGGGTTCGAGCACCAGTGACTACAGCAGGGTGATTGAGCATTATTATCAAATGGTTGAGACTGTTTAGAACATATACTACTTTATAATCACCTTAGCTTAATAAAAAATATATAATCTCATACTTACAATATCAAAGCGTTACTCATTGTTATTAATCCTTAGTCCCAAGTATCTGATTGAGGAAACACGCCTCAGGTACATGGATATCCATGCAAGCCTCGTTACAATATATATTAGAGTTAAGCTCTCTTCTTCTTCTTGCTTTCTTCTTCTCCAGCGTGAACCAAGGGAGCAAAGGTGAGTTTTCTGATTTCTTGATTGTTTGTTGATTTTAAGTATGGGTTTTGATCCTTAGGTGATACTTAAGCTTAAGGAAAGCTTAATTTGTCTTAAAATCAAAAGATGAAGAAGTTTTGAAAGATTAAAGAGAATGGGGTTTTAAGTGTATTTCTGGAAAAGAGTTGATAAGTTGAATTTGAAACTAAATTTGACTTGTCATCAACTTAATTAAGAGATATGAAGTGATAGAATTGGATTTAGAGCATCTTGAAAATTTGGTATGATTATTGATTTTCATATGAAAGATGTAATTTTGAAGTTAATGATGTATTGAATGAGTAGAAATTAGTTTAAGTATATGTACTTGAGTTAAGAATAGAAAAGGGAATGAAACATGAAGAATTTAAGTTGAAAAGGTTAAATTTTCGAGTGAAAAAGCCTGTTTTGGGCATAGTGTATCGGTACCCTATGTATGT